TTGTTGTTATTGTTAGGTGCTGTCGAGTTGGCTCCAACTCATTGCAACCCCACGTACAACAGAACGAGACACTGCCCAGTCCTGCGCCAGCCTCACAATCCTTGCTGTACTTGAGCCCATCCTTGTAGCCACTGTGTCAATCCATCTCATTAAGGGCCTTTCCCTTTTTCACCGACCTTCCACTTTACCAGCATGATATGCTTCTCCAGGTAATGGTCCCTTCTGACATCATGACCAAAGTAGGTGAGATGAAGTCTGGCCATTCCCACTTCCAAGGAGCATTCTGGCTGCACTTCCTCCAGAACAGATTTGTTAGTTCTTTTAGCAGTCCTTGGGACTTTCAGTATTCTTCACCAACATCGCATCTCAAAAGCATCAACTCTTCTTCAGTCTTCCTTATTCATTGCCCAGCTCTCACATGCATGTGAGGTGAATGAAAATACCATGGCTTAGGTTAGGTGCACCTTAGTCTTCAAAGAGACATCTCTGCTCTTCAGCACTTTAAAGATTTGCAGCAGATTTTCCCAGTCCAATAAGTTGTCTGATTTCTTGACTGCTGCTTCCATTGGTGATGACTGGGGAACCAAGTAATATGAAATCCTTGACAACTGCAATCTTTTCTCCATTTATTATGATGCTGGTTATTGGTCCAGTTGTGAGGATTTTCATTTTACTTATGTTGAGGTATAAACCATACTGCAGACTGTAGTCTTTAATCTTCATCAGTAAGTGTTTCATGTCCTCTTCACTTTCAGCTAGCAAGGTTGTGGCATTTGCATAACACAGATTGTTAATAAGTCTTCCTCTGATTCTGATGCTACATTCTTATTCATATAATCCAGCTTCTCAGATTATTTGCTCAGCATACAGATTGAATAACGTGGTGAAAGGATACAACCCTGGTGCACTCCCTTCCTGATTTTAAACCATGCAGCATCCCCTTGTTCTGTTTGAATGACAGCCTCCTGGTCTATGTACAGCTTCCTCATGAGCACAATTAAGTGTTCTGGAATTCCCATTCTTCTCAGTGTTACCCATAATTTGTTATGATCCACACAGTTTTAATGCTATTGTATACTCAATAAAACATAAACAAACATCTTTCTCGTATTCTTGGCTTTCAGCCAAGATCCATCTCACATCAGCAATGATATCCCTAGTTCCATGACCTCTTCTGAATACAGCTTGCATTTCTGGAAGTCCCCAGTCAATATGTTGCTGCAACCATTTTTGGATTATCTTCAGTAAGATTTACTTAATATCATATTTGTGTATGATATTAATGATATTGTTCAATAATTTCCACATTCTGTGGGATTATCTTTCTTTGGAATGGGCACAAATATGGATCTCTTCTAGTCAGTTTGCCAGGTAGCTGTCTTCCAAATCTCCTGGCATAGCTGAGTAAGTGTCTGCACTGCTACATCCGTTTGTTGAAACATCTCAATGGGTTTTCCATCAATTCCTGGAGCCTTGTTCTTCACCAATTCCTTCAGTGCAGCTTGGACTTCTTTCTTCAATACCATTGGTCCTTCATCATATGCCACCTCTTGAAACAGATGAACGTCGAACAATTTGGTGGTAGGTGCATAAATTTGAGTAATAGTAGTATTAACTTGTCTTCCTTGTCAACTCACTGCCATCAAGTCAACTCTGACTCATAGTGACCCCTCCTTGGGTTTCCAAGGCAGTATCTCTATCGAAGTAGATTGCCCAGTCTTCCCTCCAAGGAGTGGCTGGTGGATTTGAACCTCCAGCCTTCTGGTTAGCAGTTAAATGCCTTAGGCACTACGCTACCAGAGCTCCCATCTTCCTCGTAAGTGTATGGATATTATCCTATCACAGACAGCACTTTATTTCAGGACAGATCTTGAAACATTTTTGCAACAATGAATGCCATGCCATTCCTCTTCAATTTGTCATTCCTGACATAATACGTCATATGGTTGTCTGATTCAAAATGTCCAAAACCCATCCAGTTCAGCTCACTAATGCCTAGGATATCAATCTTTATCCATTCCATTTCATTTTTTAAAACTTCCAATTTTCCTAGTTCATACATTCCATGTACGAAGACATCTGGATGTTTGCAGTTGTTTCTTCCCATTTTGACTTATGCCACATCAGCAAATGGAGGTCCCAAAAGCTTTACTCCATCCACATCCTTAAGGTTGACTCTACTTTGAGGAGGCAGCTCTTCCCTAGTCGTAGTTTGAGGGTCTTCTGACCTGAGGGGCTCATCTTCCGGCACTATCAGACAATGTTTAAGGGCTATTCATAAAGTTTTCCAGCAGTGTATCAGATTGTGTTTCACTGCTATTCATAAGGTTTTCACTGGCCAATTCCTTGAGAAGTGGATGCCACCTTCCTTCTTCTGAGTCTGTCTTAGTCTGGAAGCTACGCTGAAACCTGTCCACTATGGGTGACCCTGCAGGTATTTGAAATATTGGTGGCACAGCCTCCAGCCTCACAGCAACATGCAAGCCACCACAGTACAACAGACTGATAGATGACTGGTGGCTTCAGCATACCAGGGATCAAATCCTAAAAGCTTCCAGAAAAAAATAAACTAAGAAATGAGTATCAAATTAACATTAAACATTTAATCAAATATAGCTTCAAAGTTATAGAGGAAAATATTTTTGAAAATAAGTTTGAACCTAAACTTTTACACCTACAAAAACTATAATTCAAGTATACAGGTCATTCAGTAAGGACTTGGATGGTTTACCTCTCATGCATATCTCTGGAAAAATAACTAACCACTATGCTGAAGGAGTAGGAGCTCTGGTAGCGTAGGGCCTAAGGCACTTGACTGCTAACCAGAAGGCTGGCAGTTCAAACTACCAGCCACTCCTCAGAAGGAAGGTTGGGC